TCGGAACACAGCGAGGCGGCATGCCCTTCCAGTAATTAGTATTAGAATAGGCGATCGCCGCGGGACTTCAAATCTATCTCACAGAATAGTTGAAAATTACGTTACGAATTTCTTGAACCGGCGAGAAGCTCGTTTCAGTTATCAAATATCTACCCTATGGCTCAATCCGTTACCCTTGACTCTTCAGGGTCATCCGAAGACACATGAGTCGATATGCATCTCATTTCAATCGCCCACTTCGACCAACATCCTTTCCTGTTTAGTTTGCTCACAGTAAGGTCAATGTTCAAAAAGGGACCACTGCCAAGAGATAACAGAAAGAGGAGATAACAAAATTGCATTTGGTTAGTTAATCAAAATTTACCTTCTCCAGCCGCTGAGTGCTTTGTGCCTTGTTACGACATTCTTCCTTGTCAATCTTGTGTATAAATACGGTGATGTTTATAACCGTGGTTAGAAAAATTATGGTTACGGTCGCCAATTGCAGCACTTTCTTCATATTCACCTTAAATATTTTGACTTAATCAGCTATGATATGACTATAACAGGAACGGAATCAAAATTAGGAAGTTGTGTAGATGCATTCGCCCTTTTTTGTATATTTCGAAGTTTCAAATGAATTTACCAAGTCCGGTAGGCAGACTATATGTAGACGAGATGCAGTTCAGCATATGGGGCCAAACAGTGCATGAGTCATTGTTTCTTTCACACATGATTTCGGCACCAATAAACCAACTTCTAGAGGAAGAAAAGGTTGGCTGGCGTGGGCAGTAGCTCTCCAGCAATTCTTTCTCACACCTTGCCATGGTAAGCACAAGACAATAGCAATGTTTCCACTGGAATAAGACGGTGCTTAGTTCGAGATGACGCGCGACGACGCGCTGGTATGCGCTGTAACACGCGTCGATGCGCTACAATCACGACGGCGCTTCCAAAGTTATAGACGCGGCGCTCGGCCGCAGATGGCTGTCGTCAATCGACTCCCACTTACGAACGGTTGATCGATGGCTGCAGGCCGCTTGGGTTTCGAGGGAGTATGCGGACAGGATGGTTGCGTCGCCTAGTATCGCAGCGGCCGTTAGTGTCACTATAGGATGGCGTTCAGAGCTAAAACGTGAGCTCGTCGATGGGCATTACAGCTCATTACGGCGCCGTCGCGCGCGGTTATGACGAGGAGTCGATGCACATCCCATGGAAGCCGAACGCTGCCCCACCCATGACCAGTGGTGAGCAATGGCGGCTCCGTGAGCGTGAATATGAACATCGAAATGTGAGAAGAGCTACCAAAGCACAGATTTCCCTATAAGCGTGTCTGCTACTACCTCCAGAATTATCATTCGCTCAATTTTGAAATGGCAGTGATTAATAGAGTGTTTTGCGTATAAAAGAGCATCCAGTTGCAAATCAGCTTTTGGGTCCTTATTTAGGATGGATCGTTGCAAAAAAAGTGCAAACACTAGCGCATGTCAGAAGCACCGAAGCTGACGTTAGGGTTCAGCACAATTAGACCCATTGCGCTTACTTCATTGGTGCTTATTTAAGGAATTCAGCGCAATAATGCGATAGGTGTAGTCGTCCTAGTGACTCCGCCTCTATGATCAGCGCTGAATGTGCCTTTAAGGCTGACGAAAGGTACAGCAGAGCTCGATCATTGGGCACTTTCTGCCAGAATAGCTGAGGAAAATAGCGTGCAAGTGACAAGAAGAATAACTTCAAAGTGACCATGAAAATGAAAACTGAGCCAGTAGCAAAACATGAAGTGTGCATGTTTTATGCTAGTTGTCATATGAACATTTGATTTGATGAATTCAATCATGAGGTGAAAACCAATTTGGAGCAATAAAATGAAAGGAGAGGAATCATCTATTTGAACAGTAGCAGCGTGTACTACAGTGCCAAACCTAATAACTTTTTGTCAAAAACCTTTTGTCAAACCTTTGATGTTGACAAAAGTACTAGATACATTGCATTGTTAAAGCAAAATTGAAAAAGTTTATGGAAGAGCCACAGTATTTCGATGGAAACGGACAGCCAGGTCTAAATGCACTTTAACATGTGAGCTCGTTCTACCATGAACGGCTCAACCTCCACCCACCTCTCTGGTAAGCGGAATTGTTGGACATTTTGTAGCGTAATGGTATCCTACTATATATAAACGGCAACGTCTGTCTGTCTGTCTGTCTGTCTGTCTGTCTGTCTGTCTGTCTGTCTGTCTGTCCGGAAATTCGGAACTACCTGAAGAGCCAGTCTCAGGGGGCGGGTCAAGGTTGGGATGGGTAGGGCATGGGGCCAAGATGTACGGAACACACGTGAACTAGGCTAAGCGCCCACTGTGGGCGGGGCGTGCGCACAGTTGTGAGCTACATAATTCAAAAATTCGTAACTCGGTTCCAAAAGAGCCCGGAGAGTGGAAAATGTGGCAAATGATAGGCAATCAGTTGGCGGACGAAATGAGTGAGGACATACCCAGAAACAGTTCAAAAAGTTCGTAAGCTCGGTGTCCAAAGGAGCCGCATAGTGTAAAATTGCGAGAAACAACAGGGAATCTGTATGGCGGGTGAACTGACCGGAGGCAGCGACTTAGCTGGCGTACAAGGTGGGCGGGGGCTTGGCAGCGTAAACGACAAAATTCCGCAATTCGGTTAAAAATGAATCCGTAAAGCGTGAAAATGTGGGAGAACAACAGGGATCAGTTGGCGGGTGAACTGAAGGGGGGAGACCCTAACTGGACGGGGTGTGCTACAGGTGGGCGGGGCTTGCTACAGAAATTTCAGAAATTCGTCATTCGGTCTGGAACAAGCCCGAATGGCGGAAAATGCGGGAAACAACAGGGAATCTGTTGGCGGGTGAACTGAAGGGGGGAGACCCTAACTGGACGGGGTGTGCTATAGGTGGGCGGGGCTTGCTATAAAAAATTTTCAAAAATTCGTCATTTGGTCTGGAATAAGCCCGGAAAGGAAAGTGGGGCACGATAATGAATCTGTTGGCGGTGAACTGACCGGAGGGGCACCTCAGTTGGGCTATAGGTGGGCTTGCAACGTAAACAAAATTTCGCAGTTCGGTTATGAATGAATCCGGAAAGCTGAGAATGCGGGAAACATTAGGGAATCAGTTGGCGGATGAAGTGAAGAAGGAACACCCTGTTTGGGCTATAGGCGGGCTGGGCTATAACAAAAATTTAAAAATCGCCGTAATTCGGCTGCACAATTAGGCCGGAGCCCGGAAACTCTGAAGACCATAGGGAATGCAGGCAGGACGAAGACCACCCTGATTGGCGGGCCATGCTATAGGTTTGCGGGGCTTGCTACAAAAACTCTAAGCTTGCAACGAAAATTTCAGAGGTTCGTACCTCACTTCCAGGAGCAAAAATTCGTAGCTTCAGTTTTAGAAGCGCGTGAGCAGTGGAAAAAGCGTTTCATAATAGGGAATAAGAAGGCGCATGAAATGAGGGGCAACATTCACACCCCTCAATAGGCGGGGCATACTGTTAATGCTACAAAAGGTCGAAATTTCGTCGCTCATTCCCAAGAAACGCGTGAAGGGCGGAAATAGGTGGGGGACATGGTGGGGACATCAGTAAACGCATCGCAACGAGAGGGGGACTTCACTCTGGGCAGGACCTACACTCCTTGGGCGGCCCTCACTTCGTCATTGCTAATTTCGCAGCTCAGAAGCGCAAGAGCAGCGGAAAAAGTGGGACGAGATAAAAACTCAGTAAAATGCCGGGGCGCATGCATCTTCTTTGGAATCGCGCTGGAAGCGAACTGATTCTCTGTTGATTGGTACGGGTCATTTAATACGGTCGACACTGTTGATGAGAAATATGAACTCTTTTTAGCAATTTTACACCATGCTGTTGAACTTTTTGTCCCACTTGTTAAGGCGCCGCCTCATAAGTCACACCTTCCCCGGTATCTTCGCTCTCTCTCAAAAAAAAGAGCTGATGCTTGGAAAAGAGCCGTTGTTACCGGCAAGTCGGATGATTGGACTAAGTATCATTCAGTCTGTAAGCTCTTCGAGAAAAAACTATGGAAGTTTAATAATAATGTTGAGGCAAAAGTTATTCGTAGTAAGGACAAGAGCTCTTTTTACAAACTCCTAAATTCGAGACTCAGGTCTAAATCAACGATCACCAAATTAGTTGCCGCTGATGGTTCCTCTGCTATAACAAACGAGGCCAAAGTTGAACTGCTTGCTGACGTTTTTGAACAGTCGTTTGCACCTAGTCAAGACTGCTATCCAGCTCATTCTGCGTTCCCCTCTCGCTTTCCCGTTATGGCTGACTCACTTTGGTTTAGTGCAGAAGACATCTACAACCTTCTGTCCAAATGGTCGTCTTCCTGCGCAGTTACTAGTGATGGGCTACCCTTACAGTTCATTAAAAAGTGGCCCCTGTTATTGCGAGCCCACTTCAACACCTCTTCAATCTTTCGCTTATGAAAAGCGAGGTTCCTCACAGATGGAAGTTATCCTTTGTAACTCCAATTCTCAAGAAGCCTCCTGCCACTTCCCCATCAAACTACCGTCCTATTAGCATCACCTCAATTTTCGCTCGACTTTTTGAAAAAATACTAAAGAAGAGGATTGAGGCTCATCTACAAGAACACTCTATTATCTCTCCGCACCAGCATGGATTCCAGAAAGGCAAATCTACTATTACCGCTATGCTCTGCACCTTGAATGATCTTACTTCTTATATTGATAGCAGTACATGCGCTGATGTAATTTACCTTGATTTTTCCAAAGCGTTTGATAAGGTACCCCATGATAAACTGCTGCATAAACTTGCGATTGTCGGAATCCATCATCGCATCATTTCTTGGGTTGAAGGCCTTTCTTACTGGCCGCTCGTTTATGGTTCGCCTTGACTCGACGTTTTCTAGGCCCAGGTTGGTCTCAAGTGGTGTTCCCCAGGGTGGGGTTCTCTCCCCAGTTCTTTTCAATATTTATACATATGAGCTGCCTAGTATCATTTCGTCTTGTGGTGTGAAGTGTACTGCTTTTGCGGATGATATCAAAATCTATAAACAGATCAAGTCCAAGGATGATTGCGCTCTACTTCAGCGTTCCCTTGATGCTGTTTCTCGGTGGTCCGAAGATTGGTGTCTTCCTCTGTCCAAGGAAAAAACAAAGGTTATGCGTTTCGGGCGCGGATCTCCCTATACAATAAACGCCAGTCAGTACTTTATTGAAGGTTCACCAGTTCATACTGTCACTGAAACCGTTGATCTAGGCTTCTTGCTGACTCCTGATCTTAACTTTGATAGTCATTGCAAGTATAACTTCCAATGCACTTGCGCGCCTCTTCGTATTTCAGGGCCCCTTATACACCAAAACCCTCTGTCTCGCGTCTCAGGCGTATAATCCTATGGTCAGACCCTTAATCAGAATATGGGTAACCCGTTATATTCAAACTCCCTATAGCCAAAGACATCGACTTGATTGAAAATGTCCAGAATAGCTATACAAGGAAACTTATGATCAGAGTGGTTGGCTTCTTTATGACGGCATACCTTCTGCCTCTACCAGAAATGCCAACTTTGGCCTCCGGCCTCTCAGTTGGCGTAGAAAAAAAGTTTGACTTACTAATGTTTCATAAAATTCTCTACGGTCCTTCTGCGTTGCATCTTAACACGTTCTGTAATGCTAGAGCATCCGTTACACGGGGCAGTACCATTAAACTACTACTTCATAGGACCCAGGCTTAGTTTGTCGTTCTTAAACTTCTTCATCGAATCAAGTCTATTCCGTGGTTCTTCTCAAGTTGAGCAAGAAGAAAAGTATTCCATCCAGTCTTTCAGCTTTTAAAAAGTACCTCAGCCAATACCTAGAATCATGATGATTTCCGTTTTAATTCAAATAATTGATTTCCTTCTAACATTTATGCATTTGTTGTGTTTTTTTCCATACATTCATGTTTTCTATCGGCTTACAGTGTTTGTTACCACATGAGATACCTCATGTAATAAATAATAATAATAATAATAAAAGCCTTCAAGGTTTTGTGTGAAGCCTCAACGCAAACTCGACCTCTGCAAGGCAGCATCTGGAATTCATGATTGTTGGGAAGAGTCTACCCGAAACATATCAAAAGCAATGGTGTAGCTTGCAATGGCGGCTTTTACCCGACGTGCTGCCTGCAGACTAGCGCTGGAAACTCTGCCATGCAGAGCCGCTCGACCCCCCATAGAAATGCCGCTACAGTTTCTCGTGAAAACAGGGTCAAGAAACAACAGATCGGCAGCGTTCCGTGGACACAGGATCAAGAACAAAGATCGGCACGAATTCGAAGAACCACGAAGTCTTCTTTATTGAAAGCAGATAGTTCTGGTACAGGTCACAGTAGCGGAAAATCGCTTAGTACGGAGAAGTACCAAATCGATGTGGAAAAAACCTGGTGAACCCGGGTTTTGAATAGGTTTCAATTACCATAACTCCGTTCATAATAATGGGGAGCTATGTAGCCCACAGGTTGGTAATTAAGAGGACTCCCTCTCTACTGAAGAACATACCATTCTGCTGTAGCTCTTCCCATCGAATGAGGTTTCAACAATTGTTCAAGCTGCAACAGGACAGCCCCCCACCTTGATCTCATCGATAGTAATTCGGGTAACTGCCTCTCAAAAGAGACAGTTCTTGGTTTGAACTAGTGGTTTCTTTCCTTCTGACTTCATCTCGCCTACACTTTTTCTCAGTTATTCCATAATTGGGCATTCGGTGAGGGAGAACAACCACTCCTCCGCCTAATAATTGTAACTACTACTGAAAATGATTTCAAACTGTCAACAATCTTAATTTATTACTTCACGATTTTTGCCCCAATACTGTATTGTAATTGCAATACTTTTAGAGCTGCAGTCTAGCCGACTCTTCTTTTCTTTTTCAGAGAACTTCCAACACCTGACATACCCTTCTATGAAATATCTTTCATTCATCCTCAGAAGTCGGTACATAAATTGTAGGAAGCAACAATAACAATATCAACAACATTCGAATCAAAAGTATTCAAGTATACCTATACGGGTCTTTACATAAGTCTTCGTGCAAACAAACAACAAATTCAACTTAATAAGTCACATTCAATATACAGCTGGGAAGAACATTCACATAGTGTGAGCATCCCTAATCATCTCAAGGCAATGTTACGGTTGGTGAACGTGTGTCTGAGCAATGCTTAATGCTCGAAGCTGATGCTTGATGTCTCAATGTTCGATCGGCTCCTATGCAATCGGCAGCGTCCGATTGACGTTGTGAAATCCATTGGTGGTCCATTCACCTTCAGATGTCATGTTCGAGACGTCATGAGAAACGTTCACGATTGTGGTGGACGACTTTGCAGAAGTTGTCGTCGCTGGATGGCACGAGATTGTTGGGGTTTGAAATCGCAGTCAACGTTGATATGGAACATGGTGAATCGAGCACGAGGTCTCGATGTCTACGGCAGTAGCGTTTGAAAAAATAGCCTGTAGGGAGCAGAGGGAGGCGCGCTTTTATACCTGACAAAATCAGGCTCCACCCCTCGTTTTAACGAGTTGAGCTGTCTGCTTAGTAGGGGGAAACACGTGTCAATCTCGCTGAGCCATATGAGCTATCAGCTGTAAGCAGAGAGGAAAGCTCCTCTGCCTACAGTCGA